GAAGCATCAATAATGGATGTTACTGTATGAAGGACTACGAGGCAGCTGTCAAACTTGTGGAATTAGTATCTTGAACCATGTGCTCTCCTCACCAGCAGAATCCCCCTAAATCATGGTGGTCATCAGTGACTACAAAGTCATACTGTAAAGAATGAATATAATTCCAATTTCCTAAGGGGAAAAAAGAAAAAGGGAAAAAAGTATTCTCAAAATAAAAATTTTTTTGATACTGGAAATTGAGCTCAGGGCTTTGCACTTGCCAGGCAGGTGTATTACTGAGTTACATCCCCCGCCCTCAAATCTTAAGAGGTTGATCACTTACAGAATTAAGTGCTTTCTCTTCATAATTTACACATTCGAATTTCTATAATAAACATGTCATTTCTTTAAGAAAAGCCGGTTAATAACAATACAATGTATAATGATCTTATCAAGGAACATGTATACTCAAGAATTAGAATACATACCGAGCTTTCAGAAGCAGTTTATACCTCAGTGCAAAAAACAATCTCAGGTCACACTTAACTGACAACCAATTTCTTATTTTAAAAAGACTTTCTATCCTTCCACTTAGTACTTTATAATGATACTCAGTAAGTGCTTCAACAGTTATTTACTGGATTGTGGGATTGCAGGCAACCCTCATTTTTCTCCTTTGTACTTCTAGTAATATTTTGTTTACTTTGTAATGAGCCTGTATTGCTTTCAAAGTTATTGGAAATACAAGATTTTGCATTGCTATTGTGATGTCTTAGTTTTCTCTAGTTTTTTTGTTTGTTTTGTTTTTTTGACAGGGTCTCACTATGTAGTTGAGACTGACCTGGAACTCACTATGTGGCCCAGGCTGGTCTCAAGCTCACAGTGATCCTCCTGCCTCAGTCTCCTGAGTGCTGGGATTACAGGCATGCGCCACCATGCCTGGCTTCTAGTTGTTTTTAATTGCCAATAATTGTACTCATTTATGGGGTATGTTTTGGCACATGCATGCGTAATGATCAAACCAGGGTATTGAGCATATTCATTACTTCAAATGTTTAATATTTGTGATTAGAACATTTTAAATGACCAGAATTCAAAATAACTGTTGGTTATTTTGACATATAACAATGCATTATTGTTGACTATGTTCACCTTACTATGCAACAAAACCCCAGAACTTTGTTTCTTCTAATTTTCTACCAGTTGACCTTAAAGAAAGACAAAATATTGAGGTGCTCTAATATAGACAAAAAATTGGCATATAATTGTTTAAACAGAGTTGAGGTAAATAAGGCCAGTGAGAAAAATCTATTCCACTGTCAGAGTACAATTTGGCCCATCCTGACTTTTGTTTAGGATCAAAATATATCAGCGGTTAACTTTGGTTTCATTTTTAATCTATTATTTCTCCTCCTGTTAGTTTCTTTAATATTTACTCTGCTTTTGTAACTCAAAGTAAATGCTAATGTAGTAAATATTTCCCAAGAACCTCTATATTGATTTTTCCTATTGCACTGGATACATAGTAAACTCAGGTAAACTTTTCATTCATTGATTTATAAGTATGCTGGCATTTAATTATTATGAAATACTTAAAAAGTTTTCAGCTTGTTCAGGACAAAAATTCAAACATGAAGGTGTCATTTTTCTGTCTCATCAGTGAGACTAATTTAACACAAGAGACAACAAATATCTTTTAATGGAACATGGAGAACTCCTTAAACAGTGTAGAATTCTTGGTTTTTCCATCCATAATTGAAAAGATGCACACAATCACTTAAATATTTATATTTGCTATTGATTTTTTCCCTCTTGGGAACACCTACACATTCCCAAATGGCTTTTTGCTTGTTTTATAAATGCTAATGTTTTCTAACTTCATACCAATCCATAGCAAGAGAAAAGTTCCAAGAAAAAAATGACATTCATAGATGAAATAACTAGTACAGAGAGAATAAGAAATGATCCAATCTCATGAAGAATGAACTGAAAGGGCAATAGGATTTATGTTTGTGTGTTTAAAAAACCAACTGAAAAATTTATGAAAACCAATTTGTACGCAACTAGTGGGAAAAAAGGAAGCTTACCATATCCAGAAAGTAATAAAACACTTGAAAAAACAATATAAATTTAATAGTAAACATTATGGTCAGGCTGTTTATTAAGGAGGCAACCACATATACAAGTTCAGCTATAGAAATGTCTGCAAATCAAACTTAATGTGATCTAAAAGAACCATGTGTAATGTCAAAAATGGAACCTGTACAGTCAATAAAAAGTCAATTTAAACATACATAGTCTAGATCATTCTAGAATTATACAAATGTCTGGGGCCATATATGTATCTAATTTTCTTTCAAAAAAGCTTTTTTATAAAAGTGATGTATTGAGATAATTTTAAAAAGTATCTGACAATTATGAATGGTCCCCAGTTTTACAAAATGTGATTTCCAGGCTATGAAAACTGAGAAAAGTTAACTCTTCAGAATGTTTTATACAAACAAGTTTTGTAGAAAAATGATCCAGCAAATGCTTGAGTTAAGAATATTTATATTTTTCTAATTCTTTACACTTTTATTAACACACTTACAAAAAATAACATTCAAACATTGAAAAAATTAAATAACTTTGGAAGCAGAATCTGTAGCTGTCTGCTTACATATAAATGACAATTCTGGGCTGTTGGCACAAAATAATCAACATTCATAAAACCTTTACTACTATATATCAAACATAAGTTAAAATCATAGGCACTAGTTTATCAAATCCACATTTCTTGTGTCAGAATAACCACAGTAAATCCTTAGATTTTCCCAAACAGAAAAACTGGCAATACACAAAGGCTTTCTAGTAAAAAGGCAATTTTTCTCTTTAGGAAACGAAAAGCCAATAATCTGTGGTGGTGCAACAGCAGGTAAAATAATACTTTACCAAACTCAGATCCAAAATACATTTTTAACAAGTGAGGAAATATTTTAATTAAAAAAAATAGACATTTTTTTCTGACGCAGCCATTTAAAAACAAAGTTAAACTGAATAATCCTTTTGAAATTGATTATCTAACTTAAAAATGTAATATATTCCATAATAGTTTAAATTCCTTTCAATTATTAGATTGCAGCACACACACACACACACACATAAATGTTGCATGGAAAACTGAGACCTGTTTTGTTTTGTGTATATGTGGTTCTAAAGAGACAGTGGCTAGTCTTTATTTTATGGACTTAAGATTTACATGAAATACTCCCCCACCAAAGCAAATGCTTTCTTTATCTTCCTCTGAAAAGCAACATTTTTTTAGTTCATCATCATGTAGAATTCTGGCACCATCCTTTCCGGACCCACCCGATTACCTTTAAATTCAAGGATACAGTACCTCCTGCATTATTCACCAAAATACACAGCGTTATTTTAAATCTACAGCTGCTTGTTCTAACTGAATGCCTCCCAACTGGTCAAGCCAATAGATACCCCAGTGTCAGACATGCCACACTTGGGGGTCTTGGTTTTATCATTCTCTCAGCCTATCAACCTCAATGCTGTCCTGAATAGTAAGCATTACATTTCCCTCTCAGTTTCTTTTGCCAACTTACAGAATCTCTTTAACAGAAAGGAACAGAAATCCTTAGATCAATAAAATCTTTTCGGTGACCCAATTACTAATATTTTAGAGCTGTCAAAACTAAGTATTTAAACACAGACCTCACAATGAAAAATGAAAAGCCTGCTACAGCAGGAAGTTTTAGTTTGGTAAAAATCAGATAAAATCAAAACAAGTGATTTCAAGGATGTGTGTGCATGTGTGTGTGTGTGTGTGTGTGAGAGAGAGAGAGAGAGAGAGAGAGAGAGAGAGAGAGAGCAAATAAAGACCAAATATTTAGAGTTAGATGTAGCAGGTTACCAAAAATATAAAAATTGATGTAAGGCAGAATCTAAGTCAAGTAAAAAAGGGACAGTATTTTCAGAAGATTTTATATAGTTACTCAGTTTAAAGTGGATACACATAAGTAGAATTTGGCAGGCTAGATTTTTCTACCACATAATAGACCATTATGCCACTTAGTAGCAACAATACAACTGTCATCACCAGAGATTTTTGTAGATTAAGTGCATAGATTTTTGCCTCCCCTCTCTCTCACTGTATGGTTTAATTCCAGGTTGTAAGCACTGAGGTGGTGTTGTATCAAGAGTAAAGACACTGCTTGTTCTATCCCATCCTGGAAAATTGCTAATAGAAACTAGATCTTTCAATTCCATGACAGGTTAACAGCATGTAAAGAAGTTGGCTTTGATAGCAAAGGCCATCTTTCCTGAGCCAGGAACTATAAAATTGAGAAAGATTGTACAACTGATATCAAGCCCTTTTGGCAATCAAAACAAACACGTAGAAGTCCGATGTGTCAATGCCATGTGATGGAGGCACACTGTAACACTACCTGGGGTGGTGTGTGTGAGCTGTGTCCAAAACTGAAGATTAAACAACCACAATTTTCCCGAGTCTGCAAAAGTAATTTATAGAGTTCTCCTAAATGTAGACATTAGGTTCTAAATCTAGTCTAGCCCAGGCCTTTTCTTCCCATTGTCCCAAATTTAACCTACAGTTTCCTGGAATACTATTGAAACACTTTAGATCATTAGTCAGAATATTAGTTCTCATTAACACAGTATTTATTGATACTATTTATACAGTAAATTAGGTTGAATGTGAAGTTTTGGGTAGCCCGAATTCATCATTTCCTTGTGTACAAAGGTACTCTCTCATTTACAAGTGGGCATTTTTCTTTGGCATCCATTAGGTATTTGCCCAGATATTGGCCTCTGCCAAGTATTTTAAAATCAACTGAGCTTCTACTAAACAAAAACTAAAAGTGATTCCATGGAGAGTGATTGTATGATTACCAAACGTATCTGATGTTAAATGTCATTAAAGTGCTGCTTGATCATCTCTGTCGGTTTGTGCTAATTAAGACAGAGAGGGCTGGGATTTTATAAATCCCAAGAGTCTCATCTGAACAGTCTGCATATATAAAAGTTGTTTTTAGCTTGGAGAAGGGGGTATCCATGAAGCTGTGGACCTCTGCATTCTTGTCTCTGCTGGTCAGTAACAGCCATCTTTCCAACTGTCATCTTTCATGCTGCCATAGGTTTTAGGAGCTGGCAAGGATCTGAAAGAAAGCAATTTTATTATGATTTGTATATCTTTACAAAACTCTGCCATATTATCTTATATATTATTTTTCAGGTGGCATCATGATCCTCTGAGAGCTGTTTCAGGGAACTATTGAGACCAAAGCTCTAAACAGCTTTGGTCCTTCAGCATTTTCACTTCAAGCTTTGCTATGCACCAGAAGACATCTCTAACCTATTTTTGCTGAAACAGCTACTAGACTAAAATAACAGAAAAGAATGCCTCACTTTTTCTAGCCACATGGCTTCTCTATTTATCATGCAGAATAATGAATGTGGCCACTATAGCCTGTGTCACAATGTCCAGAGAGGCAGCATGTGATAGTACTTAAAAGGTCTTTAAAGTCAGACATGTCTGGAATTGAATGTCTTATTAGCTGTATGGCCTTAGGCAAATTATTTAATCTCATTAAATTTTAATATCCTCCTCCAAAAAATAGTAAGAGTACCCACTCAATGTGAAACTAAATAAAGTAAGTGTAAGTTATTTAGGCAGTGCAGAGTAAAACGTCAATGGACTCTGGTACTGAATTCGGAAATGTAAAATGTTTGTATTAGAATTAATACATATAGGCAATTCCATTTAAATACTTAGAGGATGAAAGCATTTTCAAGTATATAAATACTTAAAGTTTAATTATAGTTGATATGTAAATTTGTCGATTGTTTTAATTCCATTGTTAAAAGGTAAAAATTATGGAGGAATAGTTCCTAACCTGGCTGGGATTAGAATCATTTGAAGATTAAACTTACAGACAAAAAAACAAAACAACACACACACACACACCCACACACACACACTCATACACACACACACACATTTTGGGTCTCATATTTTATCAACTAAGATTTCTTGGGGGTAAAATTTAAACCTTTATGTTCATAAAAATTGCATAGGAAATTCTGCTTTTCATGGTTTGAAAACCATGTTTACAGATTCTATTTAAAGTTGGCAGCTAAATATCATTCTAGATTCTAATGTGTTTTTATTACCTTGATTGAATATCATTATATTAAAAATGAACAAACATCACAATCAAGTTGTGTGATTATAACAATGTTTTTCTAGGAGTCCTCTAAGATGCTTAAACATGTTAGGCATCTCGACAAACTTTTTTTTGGTACTGGGGATCAAACTCAAGTACTTGTGCTTGTGAGGCAGGCAGCAGAACCACTGAGCTAAATCTCTGGCCCCTCTGGACAATTTTTTTTTTTATACCGGGGATTGAACTTGGGTCCTTGTGCTTGTGAGGCAGGCAACGAAACCACTGAGCTAAATCCCCAGCCCCATCTGGACAAACTTAATCTGAAACAAGCTGGTATAATGTCCAAAAGGAGGATTTCTTCGGAACAATGAAGTAACATTTTATTCAAATTATACTAAGACCCTGGGGCTGGGGATGTAGCTCAGTGGTGCTGCGTCTGCCTGGCAAGCACAAGGTTCTGAGTCCTAATCTCGGAACTGAAAAAACAAAACAAATTATAGTAAGACTCTTATGGGAACCCACTATGGTTCTCTACATTCACTATCCAATGTATAGACAAGGCTAATTCTAGTGCTATATTCAAGAACACTTTTCCACTTACCTGCGAACAGGCTGTGCAAGTTTGCTGCGAGGCACTGGGATGCCCCCAGCAGAAGGGGCACTGGGTCTGGGCAAGCCACTTCTCATTGCAGTTGTCCCTGCAGGTCTGGTTAGAGTAGTGCTGTTGATATTGCTGGGAGGATTTGTTGGGACTGTGTTCTGAACCATGGGAGGCCCAGGAGAGGAGGTGGTTTGTGTGAACTGTGTTGTTTCTTGGCTGCCAGGAGAACCAGAGCCATGGTTACTAAATGCTTTCATTGGTTGCCGAAGAGCCAAAGGAGATGGTGCTGCTGGGGTGCGGAATTTGCCTGGAGAAGGTACTGTGGAATGGCAAAGAAAAACCACCATTTTGAGAGGGAATCAAGTATAAGTAAAACCACTGCTTTATTTTACACTTCATGACTGGACACTAATAGGCCTGAGTTCATGAAACTCAACTATGTAGAATCCAAGGAATAAAGGATATTTCTAGGTTAACAAAAGGAAAGAGTTCTAAATAACCAAATTCATACTCAGAGGCTGCCAATTATCCTTTTAAAATGTTTTAATTAGGCTAGCTTGGAGCCCATAAAACTAGAAACTACAGGATCCTGCCTCAGTATATCAACTAACTTGAGCCACATATGAATGTTCTAAAAGTAGCCAAAAACAAAAAAAACCTGACTACTAGATTGTTTTCTAGAACTTCAAACACTTTTCTAACCCCCAAGAAACATTAATATAAACATGTATTAAGTATCTTGTGGTTGAATCTTCAAAGTTCCTTATCACACTATAACTAAGAACTTAGAAACTAAGAATTATTATTTTAAAAATATGCTCCTATAGTTGTGTATCACAAAGCAGGGAGTTTATAAATCCAGGGGCCAATCAAGAGGTCTATGAAGTCAGAGAATTAAAAAAAGTACATTTTTCTGGAATGTCAACTCTACTAAGTAGAACACATATTAAAAGAAATACTCATACCTGAAAGATGAAAACAAAATCTGCATTAATTTCTAAGCCAAAATAAGACTCTGAGATACATTTTATTATTATAATGAGTCCTCCTTAAGTTCAAATCTCTTGGGCTGCACACTCATCCTTCTCTGTTTATTTCTTTATTTTTTTGGTAAAGGGGATTGAACGCAGGCCCTTGCGCTTGCAAGGCAGGTGGTGGAAGTACTGAGCTAAATCCCCAGCCCCTTCTCTGTTTATTCATGTTTAGATAAACCACCTGTGAAAGGGCACCAATTTTGGTTTCCAGTACTACTCATGGATGGTTACACACTTTGTAGATAATAATATCTTAATATGCTTTACTTAACAAAGACCTCTGGATGGGAAATAAGACAGAATGAGGAGAGGGAGACAGAAAGAGGAGAGAGGAAAAAAAGGCAACTTTACTCTCACTCATCCTCCACTAGTTGGAAGAGGATGTGAGTGCAGAAAAAGTCTGGGCCACAGAAATGGATTATTCTGTACATAGAATAATCTCAGGACAAAAGTGATGGCAAGGTCTACTATACTAGTGGGTAGGAGGCAAAAATGATGCATAATTCTGGCCACTATTTTTATCTGGTCTTTGGGAGAAAAAAGAGAGAATGAACCTTACTTCATTTTAAAACTCCAAAAAAGAAGAAATCATCTAATACCTCTTTTCCAATAATCTCTTGCCACTCAGGTGATCTTCCTTGTTCTTTGTCTAATTCAAGTTCCAAGCTGCCAGCAGCATCATACTTAATATACACTAGGGTCCACTATTAAAAGTGTTCAATTATCTCAGTTCAGCTCCAAGACTCTTACAGCCATGATTCTTAAACTTGATTGGGCATCAGAACCCCAAGAAGCTTTTAAAAAGACTGCATAGGGCTGGGGATTTAGCTCAGAGGCACCGCACCTGCCTCGCAAGTGCAAGGTCTTGAGTTTGATCCTGGTACAAACAAACAAACACTGTACATGGGAGTCTAAATACTACCGCCAGAGAAACTTGTGTGAAATGGAATTGAGACATGTACTTAATTAAAACCTATCACAAGATCTTCTAGCCATAATGAGGAAACTGGGAAGAAGGACTTACTCTCCTAACAATAGCTACAAAACTGGACAAAATATATAATAAAACACTTTTTAAATATTGCACAAAAGGGAATACAGGATTTAGGTTCTATAATCTACTGGGCTGTTCTGTCTGGAGATACTTTCTGGACTGTAGATCAAGAGGGATCTCCCAAGCAGGTCACAGTTACCTTGTTGGCGTGGAGAAGACATAAACTAGAATTTCAGGAGCAGAGTACTTTAGATAAGGGAGCGACTCAGTAGATTTCCTGAACTCAGCTTAGTGGTCTGCTTGAATCTCTGGCTGAATGCTGAGTTGGGCATACACATGGTGAAGCCCCATGACGGTGAGTAAAGGAGAACTGGAACACTGCAAACTAAACAGCTGCGAAAGCTCACATAAAAGTGCTGGACACCTGAGTTTCAACCAGCTAAGTAGAGTTCTTGCCAAACATTCAGGAGATACTCCAAAAGAGTCAATCCTAAATAAAGGGATAAAGTAGTCCTAGAATACAGGCCATTCTAAATTTGCTCTAACAAAACTTAAAAACAAAAATAGGAACCAGGAAACTATTGCCCATCATTAAGCTGCCAGTTCTTAAAATAAAATTTTATTACAACCCAGAAATACCCATTCACTTATATGCTTTTAATTTTACTATCTAAAAGATAACAAAATCTATCACAGGTAAATGAAAAACATCACAATGTCCACTATCCAATAAATACTAAATACATGAAGAAGCAGGAAAATAACAACCAATACCAACAGAAAAATTAGTCAATAAAAACAGGCCAGGAAATAGTGGGGACTTTGTAAGAGCTATTATCTATGTTCTAGGATATTTTAAGAAATAATATAATGAGGAGTGAAGTATAACATTATTTAAAAAACTGAGTGGAAATTTTAAATATGAAGATCTTACAATTCATACAAAATGCTGCATTCACGGGGTGGGAATTAACAGCAGTTAGATGCTACAGAAGGGACACCTGAAGGTGCAACAAGAATGATAGAACCTAGAGACCGGGGACGTAGCTCAGTCTGTAAAGGCCAACCTGACATGTATGAGGCCCTGGGTTTGATCCCCAAGACCAAAAGCAAACAACAAACAAAAATTAAACATACAAACAAAAGAATGATCTAAACGAAAGCATAGAAAGAGGGGGAGGGGAAACTCATAAAACAAAAGGACAAAGCCTCAGTAACCTCTGGTCCAGGAGTATGTGACCTAATATGTGTAAGTGAGTCCCGTATTTTGGGGGATATGTTTGTATTAAGTGGGACAGAAAAAAAATCTTAAAGAACAATGCCTTAAAAGTTATCAATGTGAGCCCGGAGTGGTGACACACACCTATAATCCCAGCACTCATGAGACTGAGCTATGAGAACTGCCATGAGTTTAAGGCTAGCCTGGGCTACATAGACCCCTGTTTCAAACAATCAATTAAAAACAAAACAGGAGCCACACCTGCTCCCGATCCAGCCGCCATCACTCAAGCGCGGGGAGTTAGCCGCGCGAGGGTGCCCCTGAAACCGCATTACCCTGCCCCCCCCGCACGTGTGCTCTCAGACCTCCTGATTGTGCCAGTCTTTGGACCCACTATGAAGAGGCAGAGGTGGTCATCAAGGGTATTTTTCTTAGTTCTCAACTTTGAACATCTTTAAAGAAAGGGCGTGGGAAACCTGTAATAGAACATTGTGCAGTTCAACCATTCAGAAGGTTGGGGAACTCAATCTGGGCCTTGCAGCCCGAGGTCAGTCAGCATCATGGGGTTCAGCCATCAGCTAACTGAGATCAGGGGTCTTGCATCCTCGCTCTGTCTGAGCCATTAAATGGTAAATACACTATATTGAAATTTTGTTCACTGCAGACATGTTCCGGACTGCTTCTTTATTTCAACTTAATTCAAATGATTTAAGGGTGATAGACTAGTGACTACCACAGGTGGTCAGTGTCCAAGTTGTGCTTGATCTTAATGTGTTGCTGATTGTATCACTTGGGATAAAGCATCGTGGTTGATTTGATGAGCTGTTTTCTCTGATGTCAGGAAGATGAGAATGTCGGTGGGTCATTAGAGACTCAGAAGCTAGGGCACAACTATATCAAGATGATTTGGGTGATAATCCAGAGATTAAACCAAGGACAGTCCGACAACAAAAATAAAAATGAGAAAACATTTAAGCAAGACACAAGGACAGACTTCCAGTTCACCAATGTCAAACAGTAGGGCAAATGATGAAAAGGCCGATAGTGAACCAAGAGGACACCCTGAACTCAAAGCACAGGAAGTAATAAAACAGATCAATCAGGCTCTAGAAAAATTCAAAACAGAACTAATTTCCCAGATAACCATAGAGATAGTGAGCAAAATGGAAGTCGTGATTCGAGACTCTAGAGCAGAAACTGACAAAAAAATAGATGAGCTCAGGACCATGATAGAAGCCATGAAGGCCCAGCATAAGAAAGAAATGGAAAAAATAAACGCCCAACATAGGAAAGAAATGGAATCCATAAAACAGATTCAAACAGATATCCAGGAGATTAAACACTCTATTG